GGCTCTGAGTTTACGTCTGGTGCCGTTCTTGGTGCTTGTGGGGGTTTAGGGCTGGGGTCTGGGGTTTAGGGTTTAGGGTTTAGGGTTTAGGGTTCAGGGTTCAGGGTTTAGGGTTTGGGGTTTAGGGCTGGGGTTTAGGGTTTAGGGTTATGGTGGGGTTTAGGGTTTAGGATTGTGTCGGGGTGGGGTTTAGGGTTTAGGGTTGGGGTTACGGTGGAGTTTAGGGTTATGTTGGAGTTTAGGGTTTAGGGTTTAGGGTTGGGGTTCAGGGTTTAGGGTTATGTTGGGGTTTAGGGTTTATGCATTTGGGTTGTGTTGGGGTTTAGGGTTTAGTGTTTGGGGTTGGGGTTTAGGAAGTTTAGGGTTATGATTGGGGTTTGGGGTTTAGACATTGGGGGTTGTGTTGGGGTTTAGAGTTTAGGGTTGTGTCAGTTATGCTGGGGTGGTGTGCGAGTGTTGTGTATGGGACACTTAGGTGTTTTCTACGTAGTGTGTTTGAGAAGGGATGCTCTAAGTAGGGTCTTATGGGCTTGTCTAGGGCTTTAAATCGCTTTGTTATAAGGCTTTCGTGGGATTTGAACCCTAAACCCTAAACCCTAAACCCTAAACCCTTGTTTAGGATTCGGAGCATTGGGGGGCCCAGCCTTCGGAGGTTTTGGAAAGCCTGTGGTTTGAGTGATTAAGTCCGACGTGTGTTAAAAACAGGTTCCGAAACTTCCAGAGCCCTATACAACGCAAGCACAAACCCCTGCAACTACTGTTGATGGACAAAATCCTGCATGACCTTAAGGACCTTACACTATGGGAATTATGGTATATCCCTTATAATGGGTAATGCAGGATTTTGTCCATCAACAGTATTAAGGAGGTGTAACTGGGTTTTCGAACCCTTTCAAGCCCTATCACTCTTTAGAACAACACATTCAAGACTGTCTCAAAGCCTCCAAACCCCCAAACCCTAAAAACGCCCTGAGCCCAGACCCTTCTCTTCCCTTTCCAGGATAGCGACCGTCTGGAGCATGCGCTGGCGAAAGATCTCGGACTTCTGCAGGACCGAACTTAGTTCCCGGTACTTGGAATATCGTGCGCCTTAGGCACTTTGGCAATAAGTCGAGAAGCACTGTTACTGAGAATATTAGTACTTCGATGTATAACTACTGTATCTTTCACATCTACGTGTCTACTAATAAGTCCCATGCGAAGGTGCAGTCCAGCGTCTACAAGCTCTAAACCCCAAAAATCCTAAACCCTAAACCCATAAACCCTAAACCCCTAAGCCCTAAACCCCCAAACCCTAAACCCCTAAACCCCTAAACCCTAAACCCTAAACCCCAACAAGCCTTAACCCCTCCGGTGTTTAGACTTTGGGCTTTGGGGAGGCGGGTCTGCTCCTAGGTTCACGAGGCTTGTAGGGGTGACGATGATGCTTGCTGTAAGGACGGTAGAGTCTAAGGTTTAGGGTTTAGGGGTTTAGGGTTTAGGGGTTTAGGGTTTAGGGGTTTAGGGTTTAAGGTTTAGGGTTTAGGGTCTAGGGTTTAGGGTTCAGGGGACTGTAGAGCAATACTAGACCCTAACTTGCGATAGCTTTTGTGGGTTCCTTGACGACGTGATGATAAGCCCTATAACCCTAAACCCTAACCTCATGATAAACTCTAAAACCCTAAAGCCGGAAACCCTAAACCCTAAACTCATGATAAACTCTCTATAACCCTAAACCCTAAATTCATGATCAACTTTCTAATCCTAAGCCCTAAACGCTATAACCCTAAACCCTAAACTCATAATAAACTCTAAAAAGCAGGGTTTGTAAGCTTTGGCAGGTTCAGGGTTGATAAGGGTTGGGGGTTGCCGCTTGAGGGTTTTAGGCTTTTTAGGGTTTGGGATGTTTAGTTTGTTTTCATTTAAGGCTGTTTAGGGTTTTGGGTTGTTTTAGGGTGTTTGGGGTTTTTAGGGTTTTTAGGGTTTGGGTTTTTTGGGGTATGGGGTTTAGGGTTGAGGGTTGTTTGGGGTTTCCGAGTTGTGTGTTTTGGAAGAGGGCTAGGTCCCTAAACCCTAAACCCTAAACCCTAAACCCTAAACCCTAAACCATACAAACCTGTGAGGATCCTTCTGGTTGAACATGGCCTGTTTTCTAAACTAGGGTCCATTTTAAAATCCTCTCTATTAGAAGGGTGCCGTACTATTTGGGGGACCTAGAAAAGGACCCGAGTTCAGAGAACTACCCATATAGTGCTCTTATAGAAACCCTTATAGATCCCTTTAATTGAGGAACCCTAAAACGGGACCCGACTTTAAAGAAGTAGCCACATGGCTTTCTGGGACTTCTGGGTCCAATGCCCCAGCACTCCTAATAGCCGCGCATTGAAGCTGTGAGCCCTAAACCTTAAACCCTAAGCCCTAAACCTTAAACCCTAAACCTTAAACCCTAAACCCTGAACCAGAAACCCAAAGCCCTAAACCCTAAAACCAAGCTGCATTAGGTTTGATGACACCTCACAACGTGTGCCATGGTGGCCGGCACAACTTTTTTGTCATTCAGGCAGCGGCCAAGAGCCGAGGAGCTGAGTTGCAATGGCTCTCTGAGGGAGCTCCAGTTATCTGGGGCGGCTCGGTTGGGTCTGCGGGATATTGTTATCTCAATTTTGCAACTGAGATAGCTGAGAGCACTGTTTTCCTGGAACTCCCAATGGACACCGCGAGGGAGTTGGCTCCGTGCCGCAAGCTTCTCCTCTCTGCAGGCCCAGTGTTCCAGATTCGCTATCAGGTCGACGTAGATTTGTGATCCTGGCAAGTTGATGGATTTGGCAGAATCGGAAAGCAACGGAAGGCATAAAAACCCAGACCTGGGTTAGACTTCGCCCTGAACTGTGCAATGTGGCGCTCTGACACTGTCATATCTATGTGCGTTCTCACAGAACGTGAGATGGAACTTCCGGCTGGGCCGAGATGGAGCACCAGTTGGGGGACAACCGATTGGACAACCAGTCCCTCCCCGAAGCTTCCAACAGTGAGGCGCTAATCTGTCCTTAAGGCCCCTATATTAGTCCTTCCCATGTTAAACCCATATAGAACCCTTAAAGGAACCCTAAACCCTAAACCCTAAAGCAACCCTAGTCTTGTTAGTCAGGCCCCGGCGGTATGCTTGCGGCAGGAAGAATAGGGAACCTGGTCTCTGCTGTAGGGACCGTGCTGGCAGCACCCAAACTGTTGATAATATAAAAGCTTGCATTTCCTGACCCTAAAACTATGGGAACTATGTTATTTATTCCTTATTATGGGTAATGCAGGATTTATATCATCATCCGTAGTGCCTGAATCCGAAAATCCCGATAACGTATCATCCTGATGCAGGGAGCTGGGGCATTGTCCAGGGGTTCTGCGCTACCTCTCTCCTCTCTCGAAGAAGTCACCGTCAAGCCTTCCCGAATACAGCAACCTGTTCATGAACCCAACTAACTGTCGACCCTTAATAGCTCAATGTATTTAAACCCTAAACCCCAAACCGTCCCAGCTTAATTTGCAGCTTAATTTTCAAGGAAGATTCAGGGAGCGGGTTTGCCCATGAGGGTACCTCTACGACCGCCCTTAGCCACACCCAGGGCCCGTAGATCCCACGCGCCAAGACTCCTAGATGTAAACCTCTTTGCCCTAAACCCGAAATCCTGGAGAGGAAAAAGGATCTCAATAAACCAAGCCTAAATCCTGATAGACCCTAAATCTTGCACCCTTGAAGACGTCAGATGCCCTGGTCCAGGAGTTGGGTTTGGTGGACTATTCGCTGCTTATGGCCTACGAGGAAGGCGAGACTCCCGTCCGCAGAGACCCTAAGCCCCCAAAACCCCAAACCCCAAATTCCCCACCCTGAAGTCTAAACCCCAAATTCCCGCGCCCTAAATTCTAATCCCAAAACTTGCGCAATCCTAAACCCCACATTTCACACCCGAAACCCTAAACCCTAAACCCTAAACCCCTAAACCCTAAACCCTAAACCCTAAACCCCTAGACCCTAAACCCTAAACCCGAAACCTTAAACCCCAAGTTTGTGCCGCAAAGCGCCTGCAAGGCCCCCTGAGGCTTCAAGTTGAGTCTGAAACCCTTCAGGGTTTAGGGTTTAGGGGTTTAGGGTTTAGGGTCTATAGGGGTTTAGGGTGTAGGGGTTTTAGGGTCTAGGGGTTTTAGGGGTTTTATAGTTTAGGGGTTTGATGGTTTAGGGGTTTAGGGGGCAGAGCCCCGAAGTCTGATAGCTGTGAAGCTTCTTGTGCCTGTTCTAGGGGCCTAGATAATTACCAATATCATTTTGGGGCTTCTCATTCTCTATATCTATATCTATCTATATATACATAGTATAATGGGCCCCAAAACCCAATTCCAATTATTCAGGCCCCTATATAGCCTGGACCCAACAGTATATAGAATAATAGCCTTGTGCAGGGTCTTGGGGCCATGATTTTACGTGGGGGGTTTAGGTAATCTCCTCATGCTCATGTCATGCAGGTTCAAATACATTTGGGTTTCAACCTATATGCTATATAATATATACTGAATATTAATAGTATCTAATGTACAGTATATGATTATCTTCCTGCCTTCGCAGATAGGGTCAAAGGGTGCTAGGACTGGGCGGGCACCTTGCGAACTCTTGCGGAGCCTCTCCAGGGTGTTCTAAAATTGTGAACCTCAACCCGAAAAGTCCAAGTACTCCCTATTATAATCAATTATAGGGTTTAGGGTTTGGGGTTTAGGGTCTCAACCCTGAAAGACCAAGTACTCCCTGTTATAGGACCTTGTGCACCAAAACCCATAAATAATGACCACTTGGACCCGTAATTTGGGCAACCGAAGGAGGTAGAGAGAGAGAGAGAGAGAAACCTTAGCATTCAGATCCCGACTGCCCGAATGCCTAGCTGCCCTAGCCCGCAAACCCCAAGCCCTCATCGACGGAAGTTTCTAGCGTGGCTTTGTCCTACACGCAAGAACCAAGGCGTGTTCCTGATTCCTGAAAAACGTCCTAAACTAGGTTGGGTTTAGTAGGGTTTCAGGCCTTCCAATTACAACCCCTGGAACCAGCATACCTGCATGCGTGCGGTCTACGAGAATTTGTGAAGCCTTGTCTGTCAAGGTAGATAGAATTGTGAACATAGACATATGACAGATACAGGCATGGCTATAGATATAGACAGTTAAAGATGCACGGAAGTAGCTGCAAGTTTAAAATCAAGTGCACATTACAGCTAGACGTAGATACAAAATGCCTGACTAACCAGCTAAACATACGAGAGTGTGCCTCAAGCCCGCTAAGCCCGCTAGGAAAGACACATTCAGTGACAAGGAACTTATACAGTGTATTCATACACACATACATATGTATATAATATAGACATATATATATATGCATATCCATGTGTCATGTTACTTTTTTTCCTCTAGTATATCATATGTTCCATGTTTTACATACCATTGTATGACATTGCACATATGTTATACACTACATGACTAGTGTGTATATATATATATATATATTGTACTGTTATGTCTACATGTTGTAAATACATGTATATACATATATATATATATGTATCATAAAGAAAATAAAGAAATTCGTTAGGTTCGATCGATGTTAGCTGTTGTTTAAACTCTCTCTCTCTCTCTCTATCTCTCTCTCTCTCTATATATATATATATACACAGCATCATACGTGTCGAAGCCCTGAAGGTTAAACTCTAAACTTCAAAGCCGCTAATAAAGGGGCCTAAATAATTACCAATACTATTTTGGGGGCTGCTTGTTATAAGTCTAGTAGCAAGGGCCCCCTATAGCCTATTCTAATATTATTATAAAGGTTAAGGCCCCTACATTAAACCCTTATAGTAGCCCTTATAGTAACCCCTTTATTCTAAGTATAACATCAACGGCCAGCATTTTAGTGGCCCTAATAATTACCAATATGTTTTTTGGGATGGGTTCCTTATTATAGATATAGTATAGTATATCCGAAACCCCCATTCTAATTGGTAAGGCCACTACATCAGAGCCGTAAAGCCCAAATGCCAGTAACGCCAATGGCTCTAAGGATTGGCAAGAGCGGTCGAATACGACTTGGCATCATCGACTTCCTTCAGCCATACACCTTGGACAAGAAGCCTCTCAGCCTAGACCAACTTGTCTTTGGCTCGGGTACTGTAAAACGGCAATGAAGCAGACAGAAAACGGCAGAAAACGTCGCCCATCGCGGTTAGAGGTGTTCGGGCTGCCGTGTTGAGTACGGCTTACCAACTTGATACATTTGGGAGCTCCCGAAAATTAGGGTACCTTCTTTTTTTTTGGGGGGGGGTCCTTATAATAAGGATCCTACTATTTAGGCTACTATATTAGGGTCCCCTATTTTCGGAAACTCCCATTTGGCTCATCATGCTTCTGAGTGTCAGGTGTGGTTTGCAGACGTAGGGCCGAACTTCTAGTGGCTACTCAACCCTAACCCCCCAGGTACATACTATATAGGGCCCTAGGGGCTCTAGTACCCTATATAGTAGGTACCTGGGGGGTTAGGGCAAGTTTCCAGAGGTAGCGAGATGCCACATAATGCAAGCGCAAAGGTGCAACAAAGCGGCACGCAGTATGAACTGCGAATGAACACCTCAAGTCCAAACCAGCATCTCCCCACAGCCTACGTTAAAATTGCAGCCTTCTAGGATCCTACATCTAATCGGTTAAGCCAAGAGAAGGAGCTACAATGGAGACTATACTTAAACTGTGTCCCAGTGCCCGAAGAACGCAACCTCCCTACAATAGTCCAGATCCGGTAAACCCTGAACCCTAAACCCCTAAACCCCTAAACCCTAAACTCCTAACCCCTAAACCCTAAACCCTAAACCCTAGACCCTGAACAATAAACTCTAGACCCCCGAAGTTTCCCGTTTAGGACTTTAGTGTTTAGGATTTAGGGGTCGGATTTTAAAGGATTTCGGGTTAGGGATTTATGGTTTAGGGTTTAGGGTTCAGGGGCTTAGTCAAAGGGTGCATAGCTTGGAACAGCGGGCGATAGACTTGCTCGTACCAGTTAGTACAAGTAGAACTATCTGGACCCTCAAGAACCTACCTTTTTGGGGTTCC